CTGCGCCACCAGGGAGGGCCTAAGGAGCATGTGTTTTTAAAATGGTAAAAACCCGACTCATAGACCACACAAACTGAGGACGCACAGCCCACTTTCCCGCAAACGCTCGTCCGATCTCACGGCCGTGGGCACCCAGAGCGGCGGGCGCTGCCTGTACCCACGCTGTGTGGCCCACAGGGCTGAGCTCCGAGGGGCCCGGCCACCCGCCCGAGGCCGCACTGTCAGGGGGGCGGTGGTGCCGGATCCCCCCACCCCTCTACACTGCCTCTCCCCCCCAAACCAGATGGAAACCTCCTCAAGGTCCATCCTTTGCGGGACAGCCTGGCTCCTGCCGCACCCCCAGGGCTCGGGGAGAGGCCGTAGCCTTTGCACTGAGCATTACAGCAGCCAGCAAGTCGCCATCACCGCTGTCCTTGGCTGGACGGAAAAATTAGTAAGTGCCAGGAGTGAGTCATAAATCGGCCTTGCAGAAAAATCATGACCCCCAGAAGTCCGCGTCGCCCGAGTAGCAAACACAGTCAGACACAAAGCAGCTACTCCATTGTTTTGTCAGCCACAGGTTGCACTGCTGGCGGGTGGGGTGGACGCTAGCTCCCGAGTCACCCTCTGGGAAGATGCGTGACCGGGCAGGCCGATGCTTCCCCCCCCCCCTCCTGCTGTTGCTGTTGCGGGCGTGGCTGTCGGCTGTTGGCTCTCACTGGCCCTTCCAAGGCTCCGCACTCACCCCGCAGCCAGCGCTCAACATCTCTGACTGGGAAAGAACTTCAGAGAAAGCAGCCAGACCCTGACCAGGCAACAACACGCGGCGGCACGGCAAACACCCGTGAGGGGACCTGGCGCACAGCACGTGCCCGGGTGTGTGAGCTCTCCCGGAGTTCTGTGGGTGCCTGTCAAGTCAACCCCCGAACAAAAATGGGGTGGCTGGTGCATTTCGATGTCCAGCCCCCTTTCACCCTCTGGCTGTTCGCCTGTGTTTAGTGGGCCTTGGTTTTTGCCTTGTGTTCCACTGCTGGCTGGACAGGCCAGGCCTCTGGGAGCAGGGCCGGGAGCTCACTCCCCGCAGCCCCTGCCAGGAGGGGGTGGGAGTCTGGCCTCGGCCCACCGCCGGCCGGCACCGGTCTGCTCGCAGAGGCGGGAAAGGAGCCCGGTGTAAAGTTAGCGGCGTAAACATGGTTTCCAGGACCGTGTTCTCTGGCTTCCCGGGCGTCCCTGCGAGATTCTGGGCCATGAGCACCCTCCCTGATGCCGCAGACAAGGACCCTCCAGCCCCACCTGGCCATCTCCGTGGTGGGGTGCTCACCACCCCACCCTCATTGCCTCTGACCTCTGGTCTCCCTTGTGCAGGGAGCAGCTCTAACGCTGCGCCCCATGGGCTGCTCGAGAGGTTTCACAGGGCTGCCACAGGGCAGCGCCATCCCACAGATACTTGTGGACCAGCCGTTAGGGGCATCCAGAGAGGTGCAAGTGTCCTCCAGTCGGAGGGAGGAGCGGGGAGCAGAAAGAAGGTGCAGCCCGCGTGGGTGGGCGCAGTGCGAAGGCCAAGAAGCCAGCCTGCAGAGGGAGAAAAGGCCCAGAACGCCTGGAGGACGGGCAGCGGTTTGGGTCGGGCGGAGGCCACCAGCTGGCCGGTGTCTCCCCTTCTCCTAAATCTGCACTGGCCATCAAGGCCGCTCTGGGCTCACGCCTCCCCAAGGGCCGCTCGGGATTGCTCCTCACTGGCCCATTCTGCCTGCTCCCTGCTCCGTCTTCCCGGCGGAGGCTGGCCCCGGCCTCTCTCTGGCTCACCAGGACGGGCTTCTGCCCCCTGGTAGAAACCGCTCTCGTCAAGAAACCG